CAAGTACTATTGGTGGCTAAGTTCTGCTGATTATATATGCTTTGCCTTTCTTTTATTTACCTTCTCTACATTACCAGTACACTTTGCTTATTCAGGAAATACTTAGCAGCTACTATATGCCAGTCTCTGTTCTAGTTGATTGAGATGTTTTAATGAACAAAGACCCCTGCCCTCATGAAGCTTATAGGAAAGGCAGACCATAAAGACTAGATCTAGGAGTTAAATTGATTACACAGTAATTTAGAAGGTGTTAATGCCATAAAAAAGTAGGATGAGGGGCGTTGGGGAATGAGTTGAAGTTTAAAAAGTGGGTGATGAGCCAGGTGCCGGTGACTCACATCTGTAATCCTAGTTATTCAGAAAGCAGATCCGAAGGATCACGCTTCAAAGCCAGCCTGGGCAAATAGTTTGAGAGACCTTATCTTGAAAAAAACCACACACACACACACACACACACACACACACACACACACATACACACACACAAGGCTGGTGGTATGGCCCAAGGTGTAGGCCCTGAGTTCAAGTCCCAGTACTGAAAAAAAGCGATGATGAAACCTGAGCAAAAAAACTGAATGAGATGAGCCATGAAAATACCTGGGAAAGAGACTTTCTAGATAAGACAGCCTGTGCAGAGGCTGAATGATGAACACATGCCTGGTTAATTCAAGGAACAAAATGAGAGTTAGTATGTTTGGAGTAGAAAGAGCAAGGGAAAGAACCATGGGAATGAAGGCCACAGAGTTCACAGTGGTCAGTTCATGGGTGTGGAGAGTTGGATGGATGGATGTAGTGAGCAGAGGAAAGACACCTGAGTTATATTTTAAAATGATCACTTTGGCTTCTAGTGTGAAAGTAGATTGAATGAGCAAGAGATGAAATAGAGAAACCATTTGAGAGGTTGTGTGATTTCAGTCAGTAGTTGAAGGTGCTTGGACAGAGTGGTTAGTGGCAGTGCATGTAGTGAAATGATGTCAGATTCTGGAAATTTTGAAGATTGAGCCAAAATAGATAAGAGAATTGATAAGAGAAAGAGTTGAGATAAAGCAAAGGTTTTTGTTCTGAGTAAGTGCAATTTCTCAAAAGGTGAGACTGTGGATAAAACAGGTTATGGGTAGGAGTTGAATTTTTGTACTTATTAACTGTGAGGTATCTGTTAGATAGAGTAGGCAGTCAAACATGTGTTCAGAATTCTAACAGAAATAAATTTGGGAGTCATATGAAAGTATTTGGGATTTAAAATCCAGAGACTAGATGATATTCCCTAGAGAATGGGTAGATAGGAAAAAGAAGGAAGAACGGAGCCCAGAGTACTTCAACAGTAAGAAATCTGGGTGGAGGCAGGGTGGGAGAAGTCTAAGAAGAAGCAACCAATGGGATAAGGGGAAAATCAGTAGTGTGAAGTTCTGAAATAAGAGAGTGATTCATCTTGAGATTGTCTTAGTCTCTTGCTGTTTTATGACCATACCCTTTGGTCTTCCTGCTTGTAGTTTTATCCTCAATCCCTACTTCAAAGTTTTTATTCCATTGTATTCCACCTTATTTCTGATGAGAAGTCAGTGATATTCTTAGTACTGTTCTTCTATGCAATGTCCTCTCTCTTTCTCTCTGTCTTCTTTTATTGCTTTTGAGCTTTTCTCTTTTATAACTGTTTTTTACCATTTTGATTATGATGTGCTTTATGTAGTTTTAAAAATGCTTATCCTGCTTGCCATTTGTCAAGTTGTTTTTATCTGTTTATGTTTTCATCAAATATGGTAAATTTTTAGTCATTAGTTTTTCAAATGCTGTACTACTTCCTCACCCCACCCATGGTACTCTAATTATATGTATGCTAGACCAATTAATATTGTTTCAGAGATCAGTGAGTCTTGGTTAATCTCATTTGTGTTTTTTCTTTCTGTATCTTAGTTTCGATCATTTCTATAGTTGTAATTCTGGTTCATTGATGTCTCGTGTGTCTTATTTGCTATTAATCCTATTATTGTTAATCTGTATATTATGGAATGAATTTTATTGTCTTTCTTTGAATAGTGTTAGTCTTTGTTTTAGCAAGTTGTTTGAGAATTGATCATTTCAATCCTTCTGAAACTTGTCAGACTGTATCTATAATTTTCTTCACTCTAGGGAAGAGGTTCTCAATGGGTGATATATGGATCTACCAACAGTAGAAGTGTTATATTGGAATGTGCCAAAAAGTAAATTCCAGTGCTTCTAGACTTACGCTCTAGAATGAAAACTCTGGAGGTGATGTTTAGCAGTCTGTGTTTTAATAAACCTTCCAAGTTGTTCTGTTGCTCTCCAGCATTGAAGAAACACTCCTCTAGAGCTAGTTCAACTTTACTGCGAGGGTGTGGCCCTTCTGGAGTCTCTGTGAAGTGCTGTAGATATTGAATCAGGTATCTTTTCTTTAGCTGGTCAAATGTTGTGCAGTCTTGTTTGTGTTCTGGAAATGATTCAGATTACCATTCATGGTACTTTGCTTGGCCTTGTACAGTTTATGAATCTGCAGCTCAATTTCTAACCCGTTGTCTCAAGGGAAATCCTGTGCAGATTGTATGAACTCTTCTCTAAACAGCTCTCTCATCCTTTAGTATTCTATCCTGAAGATTCTCTTTTCACTCTTTAAACTGTGAGTTCTGTTACCCTAACACAATATGATGTCTGTAGTCTGGCTGGCTTGCTATTCCCTGTCCAATTTTCTTATTGTTTACAGTAGAAAGATTGGTCTGGTCCTAGTTATTCTGTTATGGCTGAAAACACATGTCCTTATTCTTTATGGTCCTGAGGTTATGAAGAAACTAATTATATGTGGGAAATCAGCATTGTACTAGTTTCTTCACATTATTTCTGACACTACATGTGTGAGAAATATGCTATATGATATGTATAAGACACGTTAGGACATGAAGATTTAAACCTAAATAGGGATTTTGCCTTCAAAGTTCTCATAACTTACAAAAGTGGACTGGTATATAAACTCAGAGACTGTCTCTGGTAAAGGTTATCATTGAGCCAGCATGAAATTGTATAAGACCATGGACTTTGAAATCAGATAGGCTTCATTTAACTCTCAACTATATGACACTCTCATGTTGTATAGCCTCTCATAGCTTTTATTTCCCATAATATTATGGAGATAATAGTACTTTATAAGACTGTCAATCTTAATGAATCTCTATAGATTCACTAAGTGTTGTTTTCTTTCCCCAATAGTAAACATAAGATGGAGGAGCAGTTAACTTTATTACTGAGAAATTCTTTAGGGAGGAAATAATATTTAAATTGTGCCTTGAAGCAAGGACTTTCTCAATGGAACCCTAGCAGCTCAGCAACTAAGAGATAGCATAGACAAATGGGATTTCATAAAACTAAAAAGCTTCTGCTCAACAAAAGAAATGGTCTGTAAACTGAAGAGACCACCCACAGAGTGGGAGAAAATATTTGCCAGCTACACATCTGACAAAGGACTGATAACCAGAATAGATAGGGGACTCAAAAAGCTGTACTCTCCCAAAATTAATGAACCAATAAAGAAATGGGCAAATGAGCTAAACAGAACTTTCTCAAAAGAAGAAATTCAAATGGCAAAAAAACACATGAAAAAATGCTCACCATCTCTAGCCATTGAGGAAATGCAAATCAAAACCACACTAAGATTCCAACTCACCCCTGTTAGAATAGCCATCATTAGAAACACCACCAACAACAGGTGTTGGCAAGGATGTGGGGAAAAAGAAACCCTTATACACTGCTGGTGGGAATGCAAATTAGTACAATCACTCTGGAAAAACATTTGGAGGCTTCTTAAAAATCTAAACATAGATCTGCCATATGATCCAGCAATACCACTCTTGGGGATATACCCAAGGGAATGCGACACAGGTTACTCCAAAGGCATCTACACACCCATGTTTATTGCAGCACTAGTCACAATAGCCAAGTTATGGAAACAGCCAAGATGCCCCACTATCGATGAATGGATCAAGAAAATGTGGTATTTATATACAATGGAATACTACTCATCGATGAACTGATTAAGGAAATGTTGTATTTATACACAATGGAATACTACTCAGCCATGGAGAAGAATGAAATCTTATTGCAGGTAAATGGATGGAACTGGAGAACATCATCCTGAACAAGGTTAGCCAGGCCCAGAAGACCAAAAATTGTATGTTCTCCCTCATATGCAGACTTTAGATCTAGGGCAAACACAACTAGGGGATTGGACTTTGATCACATAATGAGGAGAGAGCACACAAGGGAGGTATGAGGATAGGCAAGAAACCCCAAAAAAACAAGATAGCATTTGATGTCCTCAATGCAAAGGAACTAATGCGGACACTTTAAAATGAGCAAGGGTTCAAAGTTATAAAAGATCGGGAAGGTTACAAATATACTTACGAAACCTAGCATAGTTCATGACTTTAAGAAAAGCAGTTACATCTTTAAAAAATTCTAGTATTAGGAAAAGTAAAAATGAAGGAAAAAAGAACAGAAAATTTAACCCATGGTAAAAATACACTTCTTTAGGCCATTCCTATATATTGCCATGACTATGAAATTTGGAAAGGCCTGTGGAAAATTCCTGTGGGCTGATATTTTCTTAATCACTATTTAAGGCTGCTTTAAATTGGTATTTTAAGCTGATCATTTCATTAATATTAAACTCCAGAGCAGGTTCTCAAGTTTCCAAGAGTTTGCTGAATTGTTTTTTTCTGTTACCAATTTCCTTAGGATACTTAGGTGTTTTTCATATCTTGTCCTATAAAAACTGATTCTCTATGTTTTCTCAGTGATTGATACTGTGAGAGTCCTACAAAGATCTTTCTTGACTCTGGTATGTTCATTCTTAGTGTGACTACTGTCAGGGGCTTCATAAAATTTATATCTAATATACATTCTACATTTCTTGTAGTAGGGAATTCTCAACTTAAGCATTTTATTTCCTTAAGGTTAAGATTTGTTTTATTAAGATTTTTGTCTTTTAAATTATTAGGTGTTTGCATTATTGAGAATCAGATGGTTTCTGGACTGAATTTGCTACATTTATCCAATGGGCAGGTAACTTGTCTGGTCATGAGGTCTAATATTGTTTGGTTTCCTTTCTGAAGCTCTGGAATGTTCTATAAAAATAATGTTCATGGGGAAGGCTGTTATATCTGAAGATCATGATGAGACCAGAAATGGGAAAAAAAAATCAGATCTCAGCTTTGAAATGTAGATTTCAGTTTTTATAAAGCTGTTTTTCTTTGCCTCTGATACTAATCATTTGGAAGTCTGTTCCTCAGCTTTTATGATAAGTGTTTAAAAAAAAAACCCACCCTCTTGTGTATATACTAGAATTACCTTGAATTCATAAATTGAGGAGAATTTATAATATTTATTATATCTCATTCTCATTCATGAAATGGTCTATCATGCTATTTAGGTATTCTTCGATAATATTATAGAGCACTATCACCAAAGATTTTTGCACATTATTTTCTTGTTGTTAAATTTATTCATAGTTTTTAGCAGTGTTCATTTTTATTCATAATCAAATTGCTTGTACTATCAAGAATTGATTTTTATAGATAGATTTTGAGTTCCAAAAGCTTAACTTTCCTTGCTTATTAAAATGGTTTGTTAACTTTCTTGTATTTTCCATAGAGAGAAACACATATGCAGTAGCAGCTTCCTTCCTCCTTTCCAAACCTCATACTTTTATTGGATTGGCAGAAGTTCTTTTCTTAGGTTTTATTCTTCTTCTACTGAGATAAACACGTGGGTTTTCACTTTTATTTTGTAAATGTAGTAATATAATTTACTATATTATTACAGTATTATTATAATACAATTGATTTTCTAGTATAAAATCATTCTTTAAAAAAACCACTGCATAACTTTCAAGATAAACTCTACTTGGCTACTTAAAAAGAATTTCTTGGTGGATCTCTATTATTAATATTTTCTTTAGGAATGTCTTGTGACTTTTCTTTCTTGTACTCTCTCTTTAAAGGTCATACAATAAGCGTGGTAACCTTTCCTCATTTTCTGTTGTTTGTACAGTTCTATGTAGCATAGAATTTTCTCCTTATGAAGATGTACTTAGACCTCTCTTTACACTTTCTGTACTGGTTAGAGGTTTTTTTAAGTGGGAATTTTCTTTTATATGGAAAAGTAAACCCAAGTCTTAAGTATGCAGATCAATGAATTTTCACAAACTGAACAATTCCATATAATCAGAGTCCACAACAAACTAAATGTTATCAATATCCTAGAAGCCTCTATTCTGTGCTCCTTCAGCTACTACCTTGCCCAAGGGTGACTACCTTGGTTTCTTAACCATCGATTTTTGTTTGTTTTTGAATATATACAAATGGAATCATATGGGATGAACTCTTTTTATATAGTGTCTTTCACCCAGCAGTGTATTTGTGGGCTTCATTATGCTGTATACTTATTGACCATTTATTTAATTTCTGTGGTGAGGTACCTGTGTTGTTTTTTTCTCACTGTGACAAATAATCTGAAATAAAGAATTTAAAAGATTTATTTTAGCTTAAGGTGGTTTCAGGCCAAGGTCAGATGGATCTGATTCTTTGAGTTTGAGGCAAGGCACAATATCATGGTGGTGGAAGTGTGTTGCAGACGCTGCTTACCTCACTGCAACCAGACAGCAGAAATAGAGGGGCCAGGGTAAGATATAGCTGCTTCCCCAAGTCACACCCCCCAGTGACCTACTTCCTTCAGCTATCCCCCACCTCTGAAAGTTTTTGCCATTAAACCATGGGTATCTGTCTGTCTTTCTTTCTGTCTATCTATCTATCTATCTATCTACTTTTTGTAGTGCTTAGGATTGAACCCAGGACCTCAGGTAGGCACTCTGCCACTGAGCTACACCCCTATTTCTCATCAAATTATGAATCCATCAGTGAATTAATCTGTTGATTAGGTCAGAGCTCTCATGATCCAGTCACTTCTCTGTGATTTGGTCCACTAGCTGTGGTTCAAGCTTTCCACACATGAGCGTTTTTGAGGGTCACTTTATATCAAAACCAAAACAGTACCTATTCATGTTTTCATTGTCTGCCTTATTTTGTTCCTTCGGATTTGTAGAAATTATATATATTATAAATACCAGTCCTTTGTTAGTTTAATGTACTGTAAATAACTCAACCTTTTGCTTTTTAAATTCATATGTGCATACAATGTTTGGGTCATTTCTCCCCCCTCTCCTCATCCCCTCCCTTACCCCCCCACCCCGCCCCCTTCCTCTCCCCCCCTACCCCCTCGATACCCGGCAGAAACTATTTTTCCCTTATCTCTAATTTTGTTGAAGAGAGAGTATAAGCAATAATAGGAAGGAACAAGGGTTTTTGCTGGTTGAGATAAGGATAGCTCTACAGGGCATTGACTCACATTAATTTCCTGTGCGTGTGTGTTACCTTCTAGATTAATTCTTCTTGATCTAACCTTTTCTCTAGTTCCTGGTCCCCTTCTCCTATTGGCCTCAGTTGCTTTTAAGGTATCTGCTTTAGTTTCTCTGTGTTGAGGGCAACAAATGCTATCTAATGACTCAACTTTTTAAGTCAAGTTTTATTTATCTGTTTATTCATTTATTTATTTTTTGCAGTATTGGGGTTTGAACTCAGAGCCTTCACCTTGAGCCACTCCACCAGCCCTTTTTTGTGATGGTGTTTTTAACGATAGGGTCTCTGGAACTATTTTTCCTGGGCTTACTTTGAACCGCCTGATCTCTGCCTCCTTCGTAGCTAGGATTACAGGTGTGAGCTACCAGTGTCCAGCTGTATCTTTTCTGTTTATAAAATTATTAGCCACTCTCTTTAAATATTGCATGTGAAAGTCTATGTATGTATATTTTTAATGTAATTGGTAGAATGTTTTATATACTCTTTTGTACCTTGTCTTGTTCATTTAGCAATATATCTTGAAGATGCTTGCATTTCAGAATATATGAAACTCTTATTTTTAAAAAATAGTTTCATAGTACTGAATACCATCAAGCAGTAATTTAGCCAATCTCATCCTGATGAGGATTTGAATTATTTCTAGTATTTTTCTGTAACAAGGAAAGCTGCACTGAAGATAAATTGACAAAGTGGCTTTTCTGGTCTCATAAACTCCTGGGCTAGTACTTTTATGCGTGTTCTGTTTTTTGAGACAAGGTCTCTGTATGTCACTTAGGCTGGCCTCAAATTGTTCTGTTTTTATTTTCTAAATCTTTTAAATATTGAGGTATAATTCAAATACAATATAATTCATTATTGTAAAGTATACAATTCAATGGGTTTTAAAAAATACTATTCAGAGTTGTGCAACCATTGCCACTATCTTTTTCAGAACATTTTCGTCATCTCCAAAAAAACCTATTATCAGTCACTCTATATTCTTACCTTCCCTGAGCCCCTGACAACTACTAATCTACTTTCTTTTTTATGTATTTGCCTATTCTGAACATTTCATATAAGTGGAATCCTTAAATAAGGTGGTCTTTGTGTCTGGCTTATTTTATATAATATGATGTTTTCAGGGTTTATCCATGTTACAGTCAAATAATATTCTATTGTATAGGTACCATAACTTAGTAGATGCATTTTTTGGCTCTTATACATAATGCTATTATGAACATTTTTTTGTCAAGTTTTTGTGTGGACATATGCTTTCAATTATCTTGGCTGGGTTAACTATTTGAGGAACTGCCAAACTTTTTCTCAGCATCTACACCACTACATTTCTCCCTCCCCTCCCCTCCCCTCCCCCCCTCCCCTCCCCTCCCCTCCCCTCCCCTCCCCTCCTCTCCCCTCTCCCCTCTCCTCTCTTCTGCTCTGCCCTCCCCTCCCCTCCTCTTCCTTCCTCTCCCCTCTCTCCTCTTCCCTTCTCTCTTCTCCTCTTTGTCTTTTTATTGTTGAGTTGTATGAGTACCTCAGAAATACTTGTAACATGTATGTTGATGAAGGACAAATATCTCCCTATATGAAATATTCTTTTAAGTGGTAGACAGATCTCCACCACTGAACTGTACTCTGGCCCTTCTTGAAATTTATCCTGAGCAAACAGTCATTTTTTTGCATATAGATAGTGTACAATTATGTTCATCCTAGCATTTTATTTTATAAACTTGAGATCAACAATAGAAGGTGGCTAAGGACATATAATAGACTATTTCACTACCCTTATTAAAAGTCATACTTTGCAACATTGACAAATTGCTCTTCAATGTTAATATTATATGAAACTAGTAATATATAAGACTGTTGAAAAGTGACACATGTCTAAATCTCCACACTGGGGAGGATGAGACAGGAAGGTTGTATTCAAGGCCATCATAGGCTACAGAATGAGTTGGAGGCCAGCCTTCGCTACATCGTGAGACCCTGCTTAAAAAAAAAAAAGTATGATAACAATTTATAAAAACAACAATCACCCATGCAAAACCCATTAAACATACATGTAGAATTGAATGGAAAGGTATACCCCATCATATTGATAGTGATTATCTTTTAATGATAGAATTAAAGTTGATATTTATTTTCTCCATTCTGCAGTTCTGAATTTTCCAGATTGTCAAGAGAAAGAGTAAATAATAGAGGGGGTTAATCTGTTTGAAGTACCATATATACATGCATGAAATCTCCAGGGGAACCCACTTTGAACAATCAATATACACTTAAAAAATGAAGAACATGAAGGTAAAAGAGGTCCTCTCTGGAAGTGAATACCAGTGGTGGGGAAGGGTAAACAGACAGGGTGAAAAGAGGGCAAATATGGTAGATGTGTTTTAAATTCATGTATGAAAACAGAACTATGAACTTGTTGAAATTGTTGTAATAAGGGCAGGGTAGGGGGCCGAACCAGGCATTGGTGGCTCACACCTGCAATCCTAGCTACTTGGGAGAGTGAGCTTGGAAGGATTGCGGTTCAAGGCCAGCCTGGGCAAATAGTTCATGAGACCCCCATCTCCAAAAAGTAGCCAGAGCAAAATGGATTGGAAGTGTGGCTCAAGCAGTAGAATGCCTGCTTTGCAAGCATAAAACTCTGAGTTCAAATTCCAGTACTACCAAAAAAAAAAAAAAAAGGGTGGGGGGAAAAGGGGATGAAGAAGAATGATGGAAGGGGTGAGTTTAATTAAGATATATTGTGAGCACATATGTAAATGTCACAATGTATCCCCCGTACAACTATTATATGCTAATAAAATTTTAAAGAGTATATATTGCTTTCTAATTAAGGAAAAATATAATTATTAATAAGTTCTTTTTATACAGGTTAAACAGATCATTATGGCATGGTTAGTTAAAGTTTTGATAGGTGTGAACTAGTTTGCTATAAGAAGCAGCTTGGAAAAGAAATGTTTTATATCTGGAAGAGTTATAATGAGTGCTCGCTTCGGCAGCACATATACTAAAATTGGAACGATACAGAGAAGATTAGCATGGCCCCTGCACAAGGATGACATGCAAATTCGTGAAGCGTTCCATATTAAAAAAATTATAATGAAGAAAATACTTATCACATAGTGCCAATAACTCCTTATATGTATTGCTGATTTGTCAGTTAATATCTGTGTAATGAAAACTTTGTTTTTCCTTCACTGTTGTTTACAGTCTCCCATTTACCATTTGCCAGCCCCATAGGATATGGATAAGCTCTAGGCCCATTTAAGTAGTTCTGATCCCTTTGAAAACCTATCATGTTCCCTTTAAATGTTACTTTTTTTGTTTATTGTTGTGAGTTTTTAAAAATGGAATTTCCCTAAATAAGGAGAGTTATCTCTCTAGTTTTAGGCTCATGGTCTCTTTAATTACAATTTTCATATTTTGTCTAGAATGGAAATCTGAGTTACTTCAATCTTATTTTCTATTTCCTGTATGCCATTGTAATACTGTTAAGTGTATAATAGACTGTGAGTTTTGTCATTCTGTGGTTCCTAGTAGAGGCTTTATTAGTATTAGGGGAAGAGAATAGAATGTTAATTAAAACAATGAGTTTAGGACTTTATAAGTTTAAATACTTGCTCTATAGTTAATCTTTTTGTTATTGATTTCTCAATATCTTTATCTTCCATCACTCTATTTCATTCTTTTTTCTTCATGGAGCTTCTTATTTCTAAAACATTATATTTTTGTTCATTTATTCATGATTATGTAATATCCTGGAGGCCATATACTTTTTCTAGTTTACTCATGTATTTCTAGCATCAGTGTGGGGTTGGCTTTGTATTGGCTTCCAGTAATTCTTTTCCTTTCCTGGGAATATTCTTCCTCCATATAGCTACAAAGCTTATCGTTATGCTTTATTTACTTCCCTGTTCAAACATTACCTCAATAGAAAGGTTTTGATACACAATCTTTTCTAGAAATTTACATTCATCACTTTTTTACCCTGCTGTATTTTTCTTCACAACACTCAGCACACTACTAACATTATATTATGTATGTATTTGTTTTCTTGCTTATTGTCTGCCTTTTCCATTAAGATAGAAGATCTATGAGTACAAGGACTCTATTTTGTTGACTTCTTTACCCTCAGTTTCTTGCCAAGTACATTTGGCCTTGGTGAATGAATAAATGAGCAAAAACTGTTGTATATATGGATGAGGGATAAAGGAATATTACTTACTTTATAGGGTTGCTGTGAAAATGGAATGAAAAATTCATGTGTTTCCCTTCCACAGTGACTGACATTAGTAGACAGCTAATAAATGTTAGTCACATGATGATGTTATTCAGAATTTCTAATTCTTGTGACAAATATGCAACATTAGCATATATATATATTACTATTTAATACATTAGAAAATTGACATTCAGTATTTGTTCAAGTTATTGTCAGTTCTGACATATAAAGTGTATTTCTGGGATTTCAAGTGGAGATTTTCCTTAACTGTGATTTTTTTTATCCTTTTGTTCTCAAAGAAACCAAAGGAAGCTTCATGAAAAAAGTAACGTGTGAACTGGCTTGGAAAGATAAATGGGAGTTTGGGTGGCACACAGTAGGAGGAAAGGTAATCTAAGAAAGAATGAGAGAATGACATAAATCTTGGTCATACAAGGTGCATTTTTGGGAAAAAAATGTGTTTCTTCCACATATGCTATAGACCTGAGTTGTCCAAAATTGTAGCCACTAGACATGTATGGCCATTGAAATTTAAATTAATTAAGATTAAAGTAAAAATTTCATTCTTTAGATGCACTAGCTCTATTACAGGTGCTTAGTAGCTACAGATTGGTAGTGGGTACCATATTGGACAGTACAGATATGAACATATCTATCACTATAGAAGATTTAGTAGGTAGCATTGTTATAGACAGTTAATACAAGACAAGTAAGACTAGCATGTCATTACATATATAGAAGTGAATAGTGAAAAAAGGTAGCTTAAAATTTCCCAAATTACAAATGCTTTAAAAGTAGGAATCCTTAAGTGATCAAGCTTTAAAAGGTTGGTTAGGTTTTGCTTTTGCTTATAGATACAAACTTAAGTTTAGTTGGCTTGGATAGGGATACAAAATCAAAAGCCTCAGGAGTCTTGGGAAGTAATGGATATAGATTTAAATATCATCTACTGTTTTCTCCCCACCCCATCAGCCTGACATGCCAAGATGAATGATATCATACACAGTTTCTAATCTGATTCATTTAAATGGAGCACCATTATGTAGAGAAGTAGCCTTACCTGATATGGATCTATAATCATCCTTATAATTTATGCAGAAATTTACATCCTTGCCCTTCTCACTTTATTAAAATTTCACATAAGTCTTCACAGTATCCCCATGAGAATGGCCTTGTTTCCTCAGATTACAGAAAGAAGAATACAGATTGATTTGTCCAATATCATATAACTGAGAGGTGGCAGAACCACTGTGGAATCCTAGGTTTTCTGACTCAGTAAGTCAAGTGCTCCTCATGTTAACGTTAAAGCTGCATCTCTTTAAGTAGGATAAAAGTAATTTAAAACTTTTATGAGCAAAATGAGAAGAGCTGTGATGAGAGATACCAGAGGCCTGAGAGAAGTAATTGTTTTGGGAACAAATGACTGATCCTTGGAGTCATTGGAAGCTACCAAACTCCTCAGAGTACAAGAGGGTAGCATGACAAAAGTTGTCTGCTAAAACTTTGGTGACTAACTTGATTTGCTTGGGTGAGAGATTATGTTTGATGCTGGGAGTCATGCTGACGAAGTATTATAGGTAAAAAATGATCTGTGCCTGGATTTTGTTAGTACAAAGTGATTTAAGAGAGGTGGATTAATACACATTTTGAAAAAAAAAAAGAATACATATGATTTGGCAAAAGTTCCATTCAAATAGTCACTCAGACTTAAAATCTTGTTCTTCCTATTTATACTTAGGATTGAGTGAGTCATCCTCTGGACTGATAATACTCTTTATGATCAAACCTCATTATTTTTATGGACTTTACCCTTATTAAATTTTGAGCACTTTGAGAGCTAATTTATTTTCATGTTTTTGAGTGCTTTGCACAAATTTGGATCTTCATAAATCTTTGTTGTACTGAACTAATTATCTTCAGTCATTGTTTCTATCTTCTCATATTTAACAGATTATCAGTTTGTTAAGTTTATTATTTCTAGCCTCTCTCAATCCATTCATTTGTTTCTGTGCCTGTTTCTACTTCTCTCACCACGATAGATTACGTATCTGCCATCTGTTTTGTGAACAACTGAGTAGTGACTTAATTTTTGTTTTGTTTTTCCTCTGGTCTCCAGTCTCTAATCCGAACTGCTGAGGACATCTTGTTTACTCTTCTTCAAATATTGCTATTATGATTTCACTGTTTTGTACTGTCATAGTCTGATGAATTAAGTGGTATTCAAACTCTTCGTATCTAATTGGAATCTGCCTTCCCACAGCATTAAGGAGAGTTCTAAGAAGGTTAGTAGTTGCTATAAGAATTCCTAGATGTGGTTGCCTTGCTGTGACCTTAAAAAGATTTTTAAAACTTAGAGAAAAACTAAAAATGTCTTGAAAACAACACAAATCATTATATAATCAACTGCTCGACAATATGATTTAGTGTGTAAGTTCTGTAGAAGTTCAGAGAAAAAGATCATTTGAACATTGGGCCCTCTGACAGAGCTTCATTGGAGAAATTGATAGTTGTTTGGGGTAGTATATCATTTATTTAGGCCATTATTCAGGCCAAATTTTCCCTGCATTTCTAGTATAACTGTTAAGGTTTTAAAGTAGTGGATTCTGTTTTGTCAGTATGAAAATATTTCCTATATGTTAGAAGAATTCAGATGGTTATAAATGTATATTCTTGCCTAAATGTCATTATTTTAAATGTTATGGATCCTTTCTAAGTACTCTGAAAAGTATACATCTGAGTTGTTTCTTCTGGTTAGCTTCTACTGAGAGCACTTAGTTTGAAGTCATATTGGAATAATTTGAAGAAAAGTTGAGTTTAGTAGATATTATAACATTTAAGTACCTATTATAAAATTTAGGTTTCCATACAGATCATGTCCTAGTTTAAGCCCAACTTATATTATATAATTTGTCAATTATGTAGTAATATAGGTTCAAAGTGTTATTTTCATGAGTGACAGATTTTTGTGTATGCTTAGCTGCTCTGTTTTTTCTAAACTTAATACTTTGGGTGATCTTTCATATGAAAGAAATATAGGGAGTCACACAAAACTGTAAAAACTGTCAGATGCTTTGAAATAATTCTAATTTTGGAGATTTCTAAAAATGGAGGAAGTAAATTGATTAGTTGTATATTTTAAATGATTGGATTCATTACTTTTGCAATGATTATTTTAACTAATCTTCAAGGCAACTGATTTTTATTGACATTGCACACTTGCCTTACCTATTGTAATCAATTCATATCTATTTTCAATTTGAAAGAGGGCTGTATACAAACCTAAAGTTATGGTACTTTTACTCACTTAAACTTTATTTTTACATTCTTGTGGCAAAGTGAATAAAAATTTTTATATACATGAGTTAATTTCCTCACTCATACCCATTTCAGTTTCTAAGGGCCTTCTGATTTATAGACTCTCAGAAATTTTTACCTTCCAGTTTAAATTTAACTGATTACCCTTTTCCTAATTTGGAACCTCAATTTGAAAACACATGTGTTTGGTTTGGCATTAGACCGGGCATTTTACTAAGTGGGATCATGTAGTTTTGGCTTTAGATGATTACAGAAGTAGTCACTGAGCAGCATCCTTGTAGTTTTGAGGAAACAGAAAAACAACTTTTCTACCAGGATTATGATTCTGGTTGACATTGCCTTAACTATAGTTAAGTTTTGATTTACCAGCTCTAGTTTAAACAGCTGGACTCTGAACCTGTTTTTGTTTTTTGATTAAGAAGCCTATTTATGGGCTGGTAGAGTGCCTGGCTAACAAGCATGAGACCTTGAATTCAAATCCCCGTACTGCCCCACCACCAAAAAAAAAAAAAAAGATTTCTATTATTTATATGTTTGGAAATGCTGAGGAACAACCTGTTAACAGCTGTAAATTTGACTGATTAAGCTACTGGTAAACAAATTTACTAGGGGGGAACTGTTCTCTAAAAATTTCAGTTCACTTACATGTGAAGGTTGTCTGGCTGTTTCTTCTTAGTTTCCATCATTTCCTGTCAAGAATAATAAACATTTTCTGGTAAAGCATCATCACTAAAGATTAGACGTGTTCAGTGTTTTATCAGTTACAGTGGCTGTCATGAATCTCAATAAACATAGAGATATCTATGTAGATGCCTCAAGAAGTAGATTCTACAGAGATGATTTCTTTCAGACGGGATTCCAGACCTTTTCAAAGCAGGGGAATGTAAATTATGAAGGGGTATTTATTGTAATGGAAATTATGGATGCTTGGGTCTACATTTTTAGTTATCAACACAATTTGGGGTAGATTGTGCTTTTAGTGGATAGTAACAGGCTGGATCCAAAAAGTATGTTTTCTTAATTTGGTATAATTTTAGATGTTATTTTAATAAAATCTGTTTGTTCATTTAAACCTATAGTAGTTAATATTTCTGTATCATAGTCTATCAGGCAAATTATGACCCAGGGAGCTAGCCCACAGAATGTTTTATATACCCACAAGTTAAAAGTAGCTTTGCATTTTTAGACAGGTTTAACAAAACTCAAAAAAGAATTTGCCAAAAATTTGAAGATTTTCTGTCTTCAAAATATTTATTTGGCCCTTAAGGAAAAGATTGACAACCCTTGTCTGTATAAGTAATAGTCATAAAATGATTCCTTAGTTTCTGAGATTGATAAACTCAAAGACCAGGAGCTAACCTTTGGAATCATCTTAAGGGTCATCCATTCAATGTGTGGCAATTGTTGCTGGCTTTTGGTCCCATTTCCTCTGGAGTTCCTTAAGTGGTGTGTCTGGGCTCCCCATAATAAACATTTAAATAATTAGATATATATAATGTGCATAGAACAGTGCTCAGCACATTGTAAGCTCATAAATATGAGCTCTTATTCATTAGTCCATTCTTTCACTCACTCATTAAAGCCACAACATCTATTGAACATTTGCTATAATACAGAGACAATGATGAATATTCTAGAGGTGTAAGTGGTATAATGGGGCAAGGAAGAAGTATATTATAGTTACAGTCACCACAACATAGTAAGGGGGAGAGAGTGATGTGTTACTAAGTAGATGTGTGAAAGTGAGTGAAAGCAGAGGATGGAATCCTATTGTCCTCTGTCCCCCCACCCAACCCCACCCCATGCTGGAAATGGAACCCAGGGTCTCTAATGCTAGGGAAAAACTGTCCCCCTGAGCCACATCCAAGTCCCTAAGGATGGATTTTTAAAAATTTTATTGAAATGGGATCTTGCTAGGTAGCCCAGGCTGTCTGCAAAGTCAAGATTTTCCTGTTTCAACTTTGCATGCTGTGGTCCATCAAATGTGGCAAGGGATGAATTTTTTTTGTATGTGTATTTATTTTTATTTTTTATTCATTTATTCACATGTGCATACATTGTTTGGGTCATTCCCCCCCGCCCCCTCCTCCACCCTCTCCCCGTCTCCTCCCCTTGCTTCCAGGCAGAACCTGTTCTGCCCTTATCTCTAATTTTGTTGAAGAGAAGACATAAGCATAATAAGAAAGACAAAGCATTTTTGCTACTTAAGACAGCTATACTGAGAGAGTCCTAGCATTGCTTCCATGTACTAATGTGTTACAACCCAAGTTGATTCATCTGTAACTGATCTTTACACTGGTTCTTGATCCCCTTCTCGTGTTGACCTCTGTCGCTTTAAGGTTTCTGTATTAGTTCCTCTGGAGTGGGGACATCAAACGCTTTCATGTTTTGGGTTTACTGCCTATCCCCATGTCTCGCGTATGTGCTCTCCCCTTGTCATGTGACCCAAGTCCAATAACATTGCAGTATTTACCCTAGATATAAAGTCCGCACATGAGGGAGAACATACGATTTTTGGCGTTCTGAGCCTGGCTAACCTTGCTCAGAATGATGTTCTCCAGTTCCATCCATTTACCTGCAAGTGATAAGATTTCATTCTTCTTCATAACTGAGTAAAATCCTTTGTGTATAAATACCACATTTTCTTGATCCACTCGTCAGTAGTAGGCCATCTTGGTTGTTTCCTTAACTTGGCTATTGTGAATAGCGCTGCAATAAACATGGGTGTGCAGGTGCCTCTGGAGTAACCTGTGTCGCATTCCTTTGGGTATATCCCCAGGAGTGGGATTGTTGGATCATATGGCAGATCTATGTTTAGATTTTTAAGAAGCCTCCAAATTTTTTTCCAGAGTGGTTGCACTAGCTTGCATTCCCACCAGCAGTGTACGAGGGTTCCTTTTTCCCCACATCCTCGCCAACGCCTGTTATTGGTGGTGTTTTTGATGATGGTTCTTCTAACAGGGGTGAGGTGGAATCTTAGTGTGGTTTTGATTTGCATTTCCTTAATGGCTAGAGATGGTGAGCATTTTTTCATGTTTTTTTTGCCATTTCAATTTCTTCTTTTGAGAAAGTTCTGTTTAGTTCAGTTGCCCATTTCATTATTGGTTCATTGATTTGGGGAGAGTTTAGTTTCTTAAGTTCCCTGTATATTCTGGTTATCAGTTCTTTGTCTGATGTATACCTGGCAAACATTTTCTCCCACTCTATGGGTGCTCTCTTCAGTTTAGAGACCATTTCTTTTGTTGTGCAGAAGCTTTTTAATTTTATGAAGTCCCATTTGTCCTTTCTTTCTCTGAGCTGCTGGGCTGCTCAGGTTATATTGAGGAAGTCCTTGCCTATTCCTGTTACTTCCAGAGTGTTTCCTGTTCCTTCCTGTACTAACTTCAGAGTTTTGGGTCTGATATAAGGT